ATTTCTAACTGGCACAGCAAACGTAACAAAAACGTACATTTATATACAACTGATCAAAGTAGGAAATAAAAGCATTATGAACAGAGACCATGATGCAAGTCATTTTCCCTGAAAGAAGGAGGGACTGGTGAGTTACAGCAAGTCAAATGATACCCACATTATCAAAGCAAGCCGTGGTGTCTACAGGTTATTTTAATTCCTTTTAATATTTTCCCCCAGAAACATAACAAAAGCACTACTTTTTTTGTGTCCAGGCTGTCAAATAAGAGCAGTTCTCTCTGCCATGTTAAAGAACGTGGGAAGTTCAGTCACTTTCAAGGTTGTTTGTGTGTGTTCTGCTGTGGCGGTTATCTAAATTTCTAAAACAAAGGGCAGCACTTAGCAGTTAGGTCTTCAGATGTAGAGGGCTTTCCATCTGGACCAGGAGACTCACGGAGCTTGACAGTTCCACAGAACTAACCAGTCCTTTAGTGTGTGAGAAACATGGCGCAGACACTGGGAACCTGCCCAGAGGGAGATGTTCCTTGGTGGCAGAGGGACTAAGAACCCAGATCTCCCGGCTCCCGAACTGGTGCGTCCCCTATGGACCAGCGAGACAACCCCAGGACATTACGCACAATAGAGACGCCCAGATGCGACGCACACATTCACCATGCGCACCCCTGAGGACGGGGACGAACTTCAGATAGAGACATGTTTCCAGTTTGGGGGGCGCGGTGATCTAAACTTACAAATTAATAGTGATTGTATATTGTGATAGGTGCTAATTTTATGACTTACATACCCTAAAGGTTCAACTGTAAGGATCCTTGGTGATAATAATGGGACATTTTTACATGAGCCAATGGATATTCCATCAATTCTGTTGTGCCTTTTTACTGACTGATATTAAACCATACTTTTTTTGATTGCAGTTATTTTATTTCTTCTCTTCAAGTTACATGGTTACTGAAAAAAACAACAAAGTGCTATTTTTGGAAGAATTGTTTAACATATTGCTCTTTTACATAAAAAAACTTCGAGAGTAATAAAAGAGCTATAATATTTCCCTAGATATTTTGTTCTCCTTAAATGTCAAAAGATGTCATTTACATAAGTTTTGCTATTATTGGGAAATAGCCACATATAGTTTAATCAAAGTAAATGTGATGTGGAAATCAGGGGGGAAATTGAAAAACTACCTATAACTACATTTCTTTTGAATGTTGTCACTAATATCCTATAGATTTATTACTCTAAGGTGCAAATCCATCACAAATAAGAGCAAAAGTTTTTTTTTAAAACTGATTCTAATGAGTACAATTAGCATGTGTATAATTAACCCAAAGAAAGAGAGTCTAGGCATAAACTCTATATCATGAACACCTTCTTCGAATCATAAAAAAAAGAGTTTATATACTGGGCACCTTGCCTGGCTACATGAAAATGGCAAGGCAATTCCTGTCCATCTTAGAATTAAGAATTCTGTAAATATAGGTCAAATTATAGTTCAATTGCCACAAATGTAAAACCACCCCACCCAACCCACCTGTTGTCAGTCTTGGAATGGTAGCCTTAACCAATAATTGTGCCACAAATCAATCCTTCAGAATTCTTTGGCTCATTGTAGTCGAGATTTAAAGTTAAAATTGTGAAAGATTATAAACATCTCTTTTGCAAAAGTCATAAACTACCATTGAAGTTGTTAGCCTGCTGTGGTTCTCCAGCCTAGCTCATGTCAAAATCAGGCATTTCTAAAACAAAATTTCTTTTTCTCCAAGGTATTTAAATCTTTGGTTTAGTTCAACTGTGTTACATCACGGAACCATGTTTTTATGAATGCCATTAACAAATTGAAAACATCTGAATCATTTTTTAAATCCTGAATAATTCTTAAGGTTGAAATAAGCTTGCAAAGCCATTGTCATGGCTCCTATGTCAAAGGACATGTTAAAGGCCTGCCACTTACAGGGATCCTGAAGGCAAAGAGAACTGGCTCCAGGTAGGACCGAAGGACAGGTTAGACAGGTTGGCAGCAGGAGGGGGGAGATGTGTACACGAGGAACCCTAAGGTAGCTGAGAAAAAAAAAGCAAATGATGCTCAGAGTCACAGAGTCACAAATGAAACTCTGATTATTGGAGCAAATGTCCAGCTGGACTAAAGCAACTCCTGCCTTGTCCTCTGTGACCTTATCTCCTACGCAGCACCTGCTACATATTTAAGGACCCAGTACAAACTGAAACTGCAGGACTCCTGTTCAAAATTATTAAGATTTTCAAGCAGGGTATTCAACCAATCCAAAGGTGCTTCTGAGTGCAGGACCCTGGGGGGCCGTGGGGGCTGCACATCCCTGACGCTGGCTCTGCGACTGCATCGCAGGGAGGGGCTGTGGGCTCCCGTGCCAGGCAGGCTTTCCGAAGGGCAACCCAGATGCATCTCCGTGTCTGGGCAGGGCGCTCAGCTTTATTTTGATAAGCATGGATCCCACATATTATTTCATGTTACAAGGACCAAATAAAAAGAGTTACAAAATATACTTAATATCTTTGAAAAAATAATATGTGATTTATTTTCTTATAGGCACCATTTCAACTATGAAAATTATGTCACTGGCCACATTTCAGTGAAGGTATTAACTCAGGACAAACATATCTGAGGGAACAGTGTTAACTTTTAATGTTCAAAGAGATGCCAGTGTGTGCACACAGAATGAGAAAGAGAGACAGAAAAGGGTGGGGGAGGGAGGAGGGAGGAGGGAGGAAGGGAGAGAGAAGAGAGAGAAAGAGAAAAGCACCCAAAAGAAGGCAGAAAAAGTCCCCTTAAGGCCATGTGACCCTTTTCTCCCAGAGACTTTTAGGCTGCAATTGCCATTTCAATTAATCCAACCATGTACTCATAGCTTTCGCAGCACTTCAAGTAAGGCATAATTGCTTTTCAAAATCTGGGGCTCAGTCTTTCCCACTAACTTTCTAAGTGTGAGTTTTGCTTACAGATCATTCTAAACAGTTGTGATTAAAGTCCTAGGGACTGGTTTTAGCTAGAGCTTCCTATTATTCATTTTGGGGGTGGCTATAATGACTACGTTATTCCAATGTACTACAGTACATTTCTTGGCCTTAAGATTATAGAAATGTATTTTTTGGAGGGGGAAGAAAAATATTCTAAATAAAATTATGGAAAAATTTATGATGCACAACATTAAAAGAGTGTTAGAAATGTAAGATCATAGAGGTAACATAAACATTATTGGATTATTGATGCAAGCAAACAGATGTGTGCTAACACAATTTCTATAATCCTTTGCATTTAAAATATTCCTTGCACCACCTCTTTATAAAGAAGTTGTCCTTCCTTTTATCTAGATTTACTTTGACCTCCCCCTCCCCAAAAAAACCATATAGGGGTACTGCTTCCTGATACTGGGTTGGAAAGAAGCAGAGGTGTGTGGTGTTTTTTTTTTACCATACCCTGGCCTAAGCGTGGGAAATGTGTGTGCCTTCAGACTACTGTATCTCTATGAACCTGGCTCAGCACCTGAATAGCACTGCCCAGAGTTTTTGTTTGTTTGTTTTTTAATTTTTACGATGACCAAATTAAAACCAGGTGTTCCAGTTTCATAATATACACCAAAATGTACCACTACCCAAATGCCGAAGGCTGAGCCCCAATTTCTTTCACGTTAGCAAGTGAATGATCTATACATCTGTGAGGTGCTGTTAAAACTTTACTTTGTAATTTAAGGGTTTTGTATGATCAGTTTTGAAAGCTGCTATTAAAACCATATGTACAATGAAAGAAACCTGTGTGTGTGTATATATATTAAATATTTTATAAGTTACGAAATAAATAACACTAAAAAACAAATGTCAATTCTTAAGTTCAACTTTGCCTTCCTTACTTTTAAATATAAATATATATATTTTAAAATTACGAATTTAGACTTTTTTCCTAGACTTTTTTTGAGCATCTCCCATGAATTCTCCAAAATTACAAATACAGAGCCGAGAATTCTGGCTTTACATCACTCGTGCTCTCAGCGCAGAATTCTCACTAAGCCTAGGACCAAGAATCAGTAGGGCTCCCTTCCCATTCAGTGAGAGTCTATGAAGATCTCTGCGATATACTGTAAAGATTCCTAAGTGGTTAAATATATTTTTCAAAAAAATAATAAATCTCATGATGTCTAAATGTTAAGATAATAAAGTAGAACATTTCTCTCAGTTGATAGCTTTAATAATTCTCATGTAGAATATACTATTTTTTTCTCCACCGAAATAACAATATATGTGGAGGCAGAAACACTCATGATTTTAAAAGCACTTTTGAAATCTTAGAGCAGAGCCACTCCTCTACTAAATTTTCCATAAAGGATCAGGGGTACCAAGAGCCTTGCTTTCCCCCTAGGATAAAGATGTCCACACACAATTCCAGAAGCTTCCTTTTTGACATGTTAGGCGATGGGCAAAGCCTGCATCAGAGTGGAATTTGGTTTACTACTCAGTAGGGCTCCAGCAATATCCTCAGGGACATAAAGATCACGCTCACTTAGCAACAGCCCCTCTCTGCACATATTCTGGAAGGCTCTACAGAAACTGTGTGATCCTCCCGTCTGGTTCTGGAGAATTAAACGAGCCACCTCTTGGTATAATTTCCCAAACGGCTTATCTCAGAGGATTCGCCCTCTTTGAGGTATCCCGCCGAGAAGCAAGGCTCTGCCTTCAGAGCATTTCCAGCTTCTGTACGTGCGGGACATAAACGTTACAACTAAGAGAGACCCAGATCTCCGGGCTGCGAAAGCAGAGAAGTACACGGAGGGAAATCTGGGGTTAAAAAAACCTGTGAAATGTTAGCTGCGAACTCCTTCCCTGGCGGGCCTCCTGCCCTTGCTCTGCTCTTTCTGTCTTTTTCATGGAAATGCCAGTCCCGCGCCCATGTCTCCAAACGTGCACCCTGAACTGGAGCGAGAGGAGAGCCTCCCGGCCGTCCCCCCGCTGCGGTGACAGCGACGCCTCCCTCCCCTCCTCCGGGGCACCAGCTCCCGTCCCTGGGGATGAGCTCAGACGCGCTACGTTTGACTCTTCTCTCGAACCTCCTGCAGCCGCTTCTCCAGCCGATGCAGCTTGGCGAGGTTCTCCTGCAGCAGCTTGCTGTCGGGGACCAGCCGCAGCGCGCGCTCGTAATACGCCCTCGCGGCCACATAGTTTCCCTGCGGGGAGAAAGGGAACAGTCTGGGCCAGCGCAAGGCTGGGGGCCGAAGGGAGACGGGAGGGAGAGAGGGGCACGAGTGGGGGGAGTGGTTTTGAAACTTCAAGAGTAATAATATAAAAGGAAATAGCTTAGGAATCCACAAAACCTCCTCAGTGGTAGGAGTTATTGAACAACAAAAAAGCAACTAAAATACAGCCTTTTGCTAATACAGCCTTTAAAGCAAGTGCAAGTTTTTATAAAATGCGTGCCTGCTGGGTACTTCGGAAGCACGAGAGCAGGGGTGCCACTCCTGCCTGCTGGAGACACCTGCCTCTGTCCCCTGTTGGCCCCCACCTGGTTTGCTCACTGCCTCCCTAACTGGCAACCGGGCGCACCTGGTTCCCGATGGTCCCTGGCACGTTAGTCACAATTGTTAACGTTTTCCAGCCCCTTTCTGCTATAAACGTGTGCTGCCAAGTCTCACGACTGACTGGTAGAGAGCTCTCCACTCCAAAAAATATAAATTTGCTCTACGAAACTCATTTTATAGCTTTGTGTGGATGAAAACCGGTCACTCTCTAAATTTCCATTAAAATTTAAAATAGTATTCTCTTGGGGTGAAAGTACTATGTAGCAGTAGAAACTAATATTTACTGAATGCTTAACTACCTTGCAAATGAGTTAGTAAGTGTTAAGAGCTTAGACACTGCTTAACACATAGCGAGCACTCATCTGATACTATCATTACTGTTATTATTGAATGACTGTCCAGGCTCTGTGTAACACTGTTTCTTACAGCACTCACTTGTCATATTGGTGAAAAGGAGGGTGGAAATGACTGAACAGGAAATTGTACTTTGGGAATCCAGGGCCTGACATGCACACAAGTGATGATATTTCTGATTATTAACACTGACGCCGATAAGAGGCTAAACAGAATTCTGAACAAACGAGAACCTGGATTTGCCGCAGTAAATTATTTTTTTCAACTCAAACATTTATCTTCCAAGTGTCTTCTGATGTTGATTAAGCTCAGCACATACATGCAAACAACTGAATGTTTGTAGCTCTTCAAGTGGCCTCCAACTAGGTTTCTACTGCAGTTGATTTTGAAATTGTCTTCCAAGAGGTTTCTCTGAATTTAGGCCTCAGCCTGGTGCCTCGGCATCTCCTTCTCTGATCACCAGCTTTCTCTGTCCTTTCACACAAAATCTAGACACAAAGTTATTTTACCTCCTTCAAGCTGCTCTTGTCCTGATTAAAATGGAAGCCTTATTTTAAGAAACAAATTATATCCCTTAATTCAATGTATCCAATTCCTAGATGCCAGGTAGGGAAAGAGAAGTATCCAATTTCTAGAAACATGCTTTCTACTATGATAGTCACTAGTCACATGTGGCTATTTGAATTAATTATGATTAAATAAGAATTCCGTTGCTCATTTGCACCAACCACATTTCAAATACTCAGCGGCCACAGGTGGCTGGCTAGCGGCTACTGCCTTGGACATAGGACATTTCCATCACTGCAGGAGTTCTATTGGACAGCGCCTGCCGTCTAGAAAATGCATTCATGTCAAAAGGCAGGACTGAAAATAGTACTTCATGATATGGCCCAGTTGATACAACTCTTTGGTTATAAAGAACGTATTGTAGTTTTTTTGGTCTATCCATTCATCCTACATAAAACTTCATAAAAATATCATCTTTTATTACCAAGTAGTATGAGCAAGAGGCAGCCGCCGTCTCCCCATCTCTCTGTGTCGCCTCCTTTCAAAGCCTTATTCCAACTCTCACCCTTACGGCCGCCCTCGGTCCTTCCTGAGCTTCACGCAGGCTCAGGAAGGAGCGAGGCTCAGGTATGGGACACTGCCTGGTGCACCCACTACCCGCAGCGCAAACGACAGAAAGTGAACGACTGCTCTTGAAGGCCTCATGATGATAATCCTGCATTCTGATGGTGGCATCAAATGACCACATCCAAGGGAAATATAGTCAGCAATATTGTGACAGCCTTACATAGTGGCAGACGGTTACTAGACTTAGTGTGGTATCACACTGTAAGGTATGTGAATGTCAAATCACTATTTGTACACCTGAAACTAGTAAAATATTGTATGCCAACCATACTTAAATAAAAAAATTAAAAAATGACCACATCCAAGTCATGTGCCTGGTCTATATGTAAATATGTATAAATATATGATTCACTAGTATTAGACCATTTTTAAACTACAAAAATGGCAACTTTATATTGTTCAACTAATATATGATGTTATCAAAGATGAAAAACGAGATATAATAATTTTTTATCAGTGTGTTTGCTACATTTTAAAATAAAACACTCAATAGATCCTTCCTTAACTCCCAGATACCTTGTCAAGGGAAATACCTCTAAACTTAAAGTAACTGGTTCACTTGTTAATCTAAAAGAGTACAATAAGTGTACTATTTTCTCTGTATTTATAGACCTTTTAGACACTCTTGAGTATATTGTTTTACTTTCTCTAATTAATAATTAAACCCATGGCTTTAAATGCAGGTGCACTCCATCTAAAAACATAGTGAGCATATTATTTGAAAATGTAACTATTTAATCTACTATTAAACATTTAAAGTTATTATGTTACTCTTTTAAAAGTAAACTCATTCTGTGTTTCCCAACTGGATGTTGCTAGATAACCTCGAATATCATTCAGGTGAGAGCTCCGGTTGTGTGGCTCTGATCAATGTCAGGCTTGGATTCACCATCCGCCTCCTTCTATCAGATTAAGGCTGACAGTCACAGAGTAACTACGCCATTATCCCCTCACATCTATACAGTCGGGGATCACCTTTTTGTTTTGTTGGGTTTCTGAGAGTGACCAGTTTCCCCTTAACAGTAAATCTTATTAGGCCTTTGTTTACATTCTAATAATGATGTTCCTATTTTATCAGTGTAAAGACTGATAGAAGTCTGGAAATCAGTGAGCTAAACAAGAGTGATCCTTTAAAAACATGTCAGACCATGGTATTTCTGCTCCAAGTCACCCCAGACCCCAACTCATTTGGCATAAAAGCCAAAGGCCCTACAATCCCCTTAAGACCCTGCATGATCAGGCCCTACCATTTTCTCTTACTTGCCTCCTCAAATACAGCAAGCACGCTTGCACCTCAGGACCTTTGCACATGCTCATTCTTTATTTTTGCCACAAGGTGCTCTCTCTTCAGGTTTCTGCTCAAATATTACTTTTTAACTGAGGCCTTCCCTAACCATTATAATTTAAAATTTCAGCCCTGACACGCCTATCTTTTTTCTCTATATTACTTATCACCAGCTTATATATTTTGTGTGTGTATATATGCATGTATGTATATATGTATGTGTTTACTTACTGCCTATTTTCCCCTTCTAGAATGTTCGCTTATGAGGGCAGGAATTTCTGCCTTATTTGTTCTTTACTGTATTCCTGGAAGGATACTCGGCAGTAGGATACTCTATAAATGCCTTCCAAAGGAACAGATAAATGACTAAAATCTCTGATTTCATTATAGACAGTAGTCTTCCAAGGGTCATTTTCAATAATTCACAAAATAAACCACAAACAAGCAACCTGGTTTTTCACTAAAAGGTTAGGGGATAAAAGATACATTAGGTATAAGAAATGGTGAAATAATATTTAAACTAACACTTTCTCTACACAGTGAGTTAGGATGCAGGAAAATAAGCCGCAATAAACTCCAACAAGGCTTTCAGTTCACATAAGCAGATTTTATCTGCTCTATTGCGATACTTCTCTTAAGTGCATATGATATTCTTTATGATAAATAAAATCATGGAATTTGACTTTATATATAGATTTATTTTTTCAATGGCTTCATGATATTGAATGTCTAGATAACACAAAGTGAACAAAAACTGTGCTAATTTTACTTTTAAACAATTATGTTTTGGGGTATTCAAATAATTCAGAGTAAACTAGTGATAGTCTCTCAATCTTTCACAAGAGACAAGAGAGAAAACACCATGGAAGAGCCAGTTCACCTGGAAGAGGTCTGTTCTCCTACCTTGATGTGCTGGATCCCACCCATGTTCATCCAGGCCTGGGCTTGATCGGGGTTCAGGTCCACGGCAGCTTTATAGCTCTAAATGTGTAAGAAATATCGTCAGGCTGGGAAATGAGAACTCACCTTTAACACTACACAATTGTGCAAACAACTTTCTTCTATGTGGAAATTTAAATGGTTAAGAAAATGAACAGCCACTTCTTGTTCACAGGGTTACATTTATTTCTATTAATTTTTAACACTGATGTTCTAACGTAGAGGAAGCTGAAATGCGTAATTTCCTTGCAAAGTTAATGTTTAGACTTGGGACTGAAGACGCCTGCAGGGAGTCCAGGGGATTTCTATGATAGTGCCTCATTTCCCGCTGGCCTTGACCTGCAAGAAAATGGTGCTTTTTGGCCTTATACACTATAAATGGAGTTTGTAAGAATTTTTGTTTTTAATAATCATAGGATCTTAGAGTCGTTTCCTAAATAGCTTAATTCTACCATAGTATCCCCCCCTTTTACCATATCACTGACTTGTATTTGGCCTATGCTTACAAATTTGTGAGGTGTATTTTTAATATTTTGCATCAAAGGCATGCTCACCACTGAGTCTTCATTTTAAGAGTCGTCATCTTAAATAAAACTAAAGGCTATGAGTGTTACCTTTGCAAAGTGTTCAATTAGAAAGCTAAGTATGTGTGTGTATAGTCTAATGCCTTGCTGTTCTCATTAGCAAGAAGCCAACCGACCAGATCCGAAAAGTAATGAGAATCTGTTAAGACACTATATGCTCTTAAAAAGCTGCTAAAATGAACTTGAAGACTATGTCTTAATTTAATCAGCAGAAGTGGGATGTAGTGTAGATGGGGTGTGGATTCAAACCCTGGCTCCATTTCTCACCTTCAGTGTGACCTTGAGCAAGTTACATAGCCTCTGATTCTCAGTTTTTCCAACTGTAAATGGAGACAGTGACCATGACTGTCTTATATGTGTGTTGTGAAGATTAAATTACTAAATACATGTGAACCACACAGAAAAGTGTTAGCACATCTTAGCTGTTAGTACGAGCTAATGGCCCTGTTTCCTCAGAGACCCAGCTACTCCATGATGATTACTTGATCCACAGGTCAAGCAACTAGACAATGCTTTCGTTTTCAGTACAATATATAAGATACAGATGGCTACAGACCCCATGTAAATATTCATAATTAAATTATTGATTAATTGATCATTACGTTGTCATGTTGGTTATAAATAACTTAAAGATGGTGGTACTGAAAATGTCCACAAGGCAGAAAAATGCAGTTTCTGCCTCAAATATGCCACCATTTCTGTTTGAAGGGTTCACAGTCCAATCAGTTTTTCCAATGACCTTCACATCTTTTTTCCAATAATATTTTAAAAACCACTCTGTTTATTTTCAAAAACGATATCATTTGAAGTTTTACTTTATTTGCCTATACTCCAGGTTTCCATTTATATTAGTGACAAGATGTCCCTGAATCACTTTACAGGGAGGTTGTGTGATCGAGTTGAAAGGAAAAAAAAAAAAAAGTGTATATATATATATATATATATTTATTTATTTATTTATTTATTTCTGCATTACTTTCAACTTGTGGCTTTAGCAGGTACAAGGAAGCTGTATGGTATCCGTAACATTTCTACTTATACTTGGAAATGCCCTTTTGATTTCAAGTCGTGCACCTCCCCAGCTGTGGGCGGAGCGCCCGTGGGATGCCGCGCGCTACCTTAGGCCACAGAGTGAGGCAGCCCCGGCGCCAGGGAAAGCGCAGTGAGGCGAAGCGCTGAACCGCGTGCGCACACGGTGCGCGCGGGGCGGGGGCAGGAAAGGACCGCAGAGCACAGTGTCGCGCAGGACACTTTCCAACAGCAAGTGCTTTCAGGGTGCAGAGGAATCAGGTCACTGGGAGGAGGGACGGGCCAGGGAGCTGCCTGAGGGAGGAGGGCAGGGGCGTGAGCGGGGACCTGGGGGTGGAGGGGGGCGGACGGTACAAGGACCTGGGAAACGCCCAAAGCTATCCAGACGGAGTCGGGCTGGAAGGGACGCCTACCGGAGACAGACAGAGAAAGGGGGAGAGGGACAGGGGAGCCGGCTTGAGGACAAAACATAGAAGGCTTCAGATACCAAGATAATTCAGAGAACAACGCAGAGGGATCGCAGAACTCTGCACAGTCAAAACCCAGAAGCTCGATTATAAAAGTTAATGTATAATGTCATGTTGATTAATCACAAAATTCACCAACATGCCAGTGATCTTAGAACTTACTGTATATGCCTCATTTAAGATTCAGGGAGTATTAATTTTAATTCATGAATTTAATAACATGGTTTTGTTAAGGGTTTGTACCTCAAAAGCTTTGTCCAGAAGGTTCTGCTCTCTTAGTTGGTTTCCTTTTGTGAAAAAAAGTTCAGAAATGACTTTCGGGTCCTTTGGTTTCAGCTGGAGAGCCTTGTCTATAGCGTCAAGTGCCTGCCCGGGTTGGAAATTAAGACAGAATAAAGGCAGATTAGATAGAGAAAAACTAATTTAAATGATAAAATTTATTATACCTTTTGTTCTTATGAACTAGTCAGTCTGGTGAGTGACAATCAATTCTTCATTCTCTCTGATGGTCTCACCGAGAAATAATGTAGCTTTGAAAAAATAATTTGCCTATGCTCCAGGTTTCCATTATATTAGTGACAACGAGATGTCCCTGAGTCACTTTAGAGGGAGGTTGTGTGATCCAGTTGAAAGAAAACAAAATACAGCACCGGACATTTTGCCCTGACTGGGTGTCCATGTGGACCCTCCCACAGCCTCTGCTTAGGCGCCTGGTGCCCACTCTGCCTTCAGCACGCACTGCCCCAGCCCCTGCAGCCAGAGATCCCTTCAGAGCACACATCTGATGATACTGCTCTTCTCCTAAAACCCCAAGATTTCTCCCAGGATAGGGAACAAAACTTGTCCTGGTTCCAAGCCTTGGGGCCTAGTCCCCAACAACCTCTGCCGCCACATTTCACACTGCACCTGCTCCATCACGTCCATCCCTCAGACAGGCTACTCGTCACTGCCACAGGGCCTTTGTATGTGCTTTTCTGGTGGGAATGCCCTTCACTGCCCCCTTTTTGCCTAATAATTCCTAATCATCACTCAGCCCTCACCTTCACATCACTCTGCAGGGAATGTGACCTCCAAGACCTCTCAGGTCCCCTGATTATATCCTTGTTAGGAGCCATGTCAGTCTTCATGTCAGCACTGAGCACAGCTATAATTCTACATTGATTGTGTGATCACTTGTTTAATCTGTCTCCTGTAAATCCTGTCTACTGGAAACTCCATGAGGACAAGGGCAGTGGTCAGTGATTCTTTCTTGTCATACCACTTTATGCCTGGTGCCTACTACAGTATTTGGCATATAGCAGGCATTCAATAACGATTTTGTTGACTTAGTTCATAAATGTACTGGTTATGTGACCTTTAAACTGGAGAGAAACAGTACCAGTAGCAACACCGGGTTAATGACCTGCCTCACAGGTCTGTTGTGAGAATTCTATGAAAATACAGTTGAAGAACAGGCATCCAGGTGTCAGTCGCCACCTTGCCAGTTAGCTGGAAACAAGTGGAGACAATACTGCATCAGATCTTCACACCCAGGAGCCAAGCATGTGTTATTTCAAAGGGATATTTTAGGAGTTAAAGAGGTATCTGTGGAAATCACCCATAAGACAGGATATGCCAACTAATGGTATTCAATTCTGCTCGGCCTTGTTTCTGTGCAGCCTGGAGCCCAGCTAGGGGCACCCCGCCTTCTACCCAGGACTCCAGAAAACTCCAGTGTCCCCTCTACCTTGGCATGCTGCTCCTGCTTGCTGTGGATTGCTGACAACAGGCGGTAGCATTCGAGGCATCCGGTGTCCTCTGACACAATGTGATTGGTCATCTTTTCGGCTTCTTTCGTCTGACCCATCATGGCCAGAACCTGAGCCTGCAAAACCACACAGACCTTGGCTTAGAAGACACTTAGTTGTTACCTGGTCAAATGAAGCGGCCCTGAATGGAGGCACCGGGAGACACCCCAGACAAAAGTGCTCAGCATCTGTTTGTGATGCAGAGAGGGGGACAGATCCCCACAGCGCAGAGGCTTTAACTTTCGTTAACTGTTTCTATTTAGTTATGTGCACGTATGGCGGGAATGGCGGGGACGTTAAAGATAGCCAGTGAAATGACTTGGGCCTTTTTAAGAAGTTGACTAAATATGTCAAGAGAAAAATGATTTCCTGTGTTTGTGACAAGATAAATTTGATGTACTGCAAATCCCCCCCAAAAAGGAAAGTACTGATCCAAAATTGAAATAAAACATTATTAATTTTCCTGAATTCGAAAACCGCACTGTGGGTATGTTAGAGAATGTCCTCATTTCTTGGGAACTACATGCTGAAATATTTAGAAATAAAAGGAGTGAGACCTATAATTCTCACATGGCTCAGAAAGAAATAACAGTAATTAATACTATGTATGTACATACACACAATACATGCCTAAATATGCTCTTATGTACACACATACACACACATACATGTGAGAGTGTGGTAAACAAATGCATCAAAATGCTGAAAACTGATTAATCTGGGTGAAAGAGAATATGAAAGTTATTTAATATTCTTGCAAATTTTTATAAGTTTGAAATTATTTCAAAACAAAAACTTAAAAAATATTTTAGCCCCATGTCTTGTGTAAACGGCTCCAACATCAGTTAGATGACTATTCATAAAATGGGCATATTGTAGCATTCCCAGTTGCAGCTTGGAGGCCTGCTGGCTGCAGCGCCCTCCACCACGTGCCTGTGTAGGCTCCCAGCCGCATGTCCCTCGGTCTGTCCACTCACCAGGGCCAGGCGCAGCTCCCTGTGGGAAGGCTGAAGGGCCGCAGCTTCGCGGTAAATCTGCAAGGCCTCTTCGTATCGGCCGGTGTTGTAAAACAGGGCTCCCAAGGGCGACAGTGTCTCCGCCTTGCGTGCCACCTTCAGGGCCCTGAGTTGTAAGAAAGGTGAATTAACACTTTTCTTCTAATAGGAGTTACACTTCCTGAGGTCAAAACTTATATTTAGGGATGACTGTCCAGGTTTGAGAATTTGCTCCAATGATCTTTGCCTTTTTAATGAAGAATGTTAAAAAAAAAAAAAAAAAAAAAA